ATAAAACACAGAGGGCACAATTCCAGGACCTTAGGAAGAGAAGAAGTTTTTAAGAGACAGAGACTATGATGACAGGCAGTCCCCGGGTTAGGAACGTCTGATTTACGTACAACCTGCCGTTTCGAACCGATCCCCGTAAAACCTACTGTATTAAAAATACAAGGTACATACAATGATTCGTAATAACAAACAGGTCCTACTTTGTGATGTGCATCACAACATTTTTTATTATTATTACTCTATTACTATGTTAAATATGTTTTCAGTGTATCTGGAAGTGTTTTGTTAACGTTTTTTATGCATAGAAAGGTACACTATGTACTGTATACTAAGACAAACATTTGATTAACTGACGTTACATACGACCCTAGCTGTTCTGACTTACGGACAAATTCGACTTAAAGACATACTTAGGAACAGAACTAGCTCATAATCCGAGGACTGCCTGTACCTAAATAACAGTACCATTATAGCCACTTCAAAGCATCACAAAGACATCGATGAAGGGAGTGCATGTTTTTCTTGATGTTGTGGGAAAAAATACAAACTTAAAGGAAAGTGGTGGAAAGTATTCCTTAAAATAAACCAGGGAATTGATGACAAAAATCCTGCTGGGGAAGCTCAGTGCCAAAGGGGTAGGCTCTTTAAATAGATGCCAAAGAGGACAGGGCTGACTTACAAGAGGACATCCTGCCCTACAAAAGAATTTTTGGCAAATCCCTTGTCATCTCAAGCAAATCTGGAAATGTAAGGCGGGGTTAGTCAGAATGACAGAAGACATTTATTGGTTAGTGTTACAGAGACGAACAGAGCAACACAGCTTTAAAGTGAGAATAAATAATTTCCCCTGACCCTTTTCATTGAAAGGTGTATGCCAGGCGAGGAGATAGTTATCTGGCTTCAACTGCAAGCAGCCTTCAATAGTAGCTGGGTCTTGCCGATGTGCTGGAAGCTTCTCAACTATTTCCACATAGCGCTTCACCATTTCCCGGTACAGGTCATCCAGGCACCAGTAGTCTAAGCAGAGGAAAGGGAATGGACAAAAGTCAGTGCAGCAGGAGACAAAGTCATCTCAATTCCCTCCTGGGATCAAAGATTCAAGACATTAAATGTTACTGCTGCTGAATAAATGCAATATTGCAACAGTGACAATAGAAATAACAGCAATAATTATGCTTCTAAGTTAAAAGCCAAACAATGTTTTTTCCCTAAGGGGGCAATGATTTTGGTGATTCATCTTACACAACTCTGTCTACCTAGAGAAATTTAAAATGTAGACAAACAATTCACTTTAGAATTTCAGACCTTATATTTTGTTATTATGCTTGTTATTCTAGTCACAAACGAGAACCTAGAAAATTCCAGGATCCTCATTTTGTACTAAATGGTTCATTCTTTGCAACATGTGAGAAAATACAGAGCTGAAATCTGCCTATTCCTTGGGCTTATAAAACAGACATCTGTAAGATAAAGAAAGAGTGATTCTCTTCCATCTTCCAGTTCCTCTTGTTCTCCTACTGGTGAAGTGGCCAAATGGGAGACCAGTGCACTACATTGCCACATTTTCCCGAAGTACACCCCCAGCAATATGGAAGGTGTTTTGGGAGTAAGCATGGTCTTAAGTCTCTAGAAGATTATGGGCCATGAAGGACAAAAGGAACTAACATACATTAAACACCCGCTGTATGCCAGGCACTGTATTATGCGTCTTATACCATCTCATATAAACCCCTTGCCATTGAGTTGATTCCAACTTATAGCAATCCCATGTGTTTCAGAGTAGAACTGTGCATAGGGTTTTCAATGGCTGTAATCTTGAAGGAAGTAGATTGCCAGGCCTTTCTCATATAGCACTGTTGGGTGGATTTGAACTGCCAACCTTTTGGTTAGTAGCCCAGTGCAAACAATCTGTGCCACTCAAAGATATTACTATCTCAGAGAGAGAGAGAGAGAGAGGAAATAACCTCATATTCTTTGGAGGAGGATTATATGATAAGGCTCAGAGGTTATGTGACTTGCCCAAGATCAGAGCTGGTAAATGGATTTCGATTCCAAACCCTGAGCCTTTTTTTTTTTGCCATTAAGTTATTCTACAGAGCGGTGGTTAGTGTCCACACATCCTCTAAGAGTACAGTCTAAAGTGGTTGGTAATATCAGAGAACGGAGCTCTGACCAAGGGGAGGGAGCTACTGTGCCAGGTGAGGTCAGGCAGGGTATAAGGTGTGCCTTCCAATGCCAGCGTTTACAGTCCCCAGCACGTTCATATTCTGTACTAAAAGCATTCAAGGCAGGCATTTGAGTTGAGATCAGGAGAAGGCTCTTGCCGCTCCTCCTTGACTGGTGATGCATTCCTCTGTTTTGGGGGAGGGTGCATGTGTGGGAGGCTGTATGTGTAAGAGGGGGAAGGGAGGGAGAAGACATAGACAGATCCCCACTCACCACTGAGTTCAAAGTAGGCACTGGAATGCCATTTACATGAAAAAACCAAAGACCTTTTTATTGGTGGAGTGGGGTCTTCAGCAGGCCACGTCAGGCCATCAGGTATTCTAACACAGAGGGATTAAGACAGATTGGAAATCATCACATGACAAAATTTCTCCCATCTCCAGGAAAGCCGCAGCTCTGTCAGCCGTTACAGTAGATAGAGTAGGTGGTACTCCCATGGCCTCTGCTTTAATAGCAGCTAGAATTATAAACCTCAGAAGAAGGAACTTAGTGATAGGAACTGGGTTTTAAAAGTCCTTATATCTCGTTCACAGAGAATGAGAGACCTCTTAAATGGAGGGGGTCTTTGGAAGACTCAGGCCCCGCCGATCTGCATACGGTAACGTTATATGTTGGAGGTACTTTGCATTGCCACAATTCTGAGTTATGGCAAGACCTGGGTTTGGGAGGAATACATTTTGCAAGTTAGACGGAAAGGAATGTTACACTGGTAATACTGCAAGAATAAAATTAACCTTTGTATGTACATAAAACCTCGCTGAGACGTGTGAACCATTTGGATTTGGTGAGGCTGTAAACTGATAATGTGTGTGCTCTCAGCCACCAGCGCTATCAGCTTACAAACAGCCTTTCTTAACTCAGTCCTAGGTTAACAAGCTTGGCCCTTCCCATACTCCTCTAAAATAGTTCATTTTATTCTTGAGTCAGATACTATGAAAATGTCTATATTTAACTGAATTTAGCTTTTTAAAGGAAAAAAAAACCCATAAAAACAAAAAGACCACAAAAAGCTTTGTCTTTTCAGGTTAGCGTTTAAACTAGAAACAGATTTTCTAACACTGCAGGGTCTGGGAAGCTGTCACTTGAATTTCTCTAATGTGTGACACGGGTACTCAATTCATTCTTTCTCTCTCTCTCACCTACCTAGTCTCCTAAAAGATAAAAGAAAATCGGCTTTTGAAACTGTTTTTAAGTCTCCCAACTAGTCATAATAATAATTTTAAAAAGGCAAAATACCAATATCAAGTTACCTTGTAATACAAATATAAAACTGTTTCAAAATGTTTACCAATACAAGCAAAAATTCCACTTTAACTCCAAGGAGTGGCTGGTGGGTTCGAACTGCTAACGTTTTGGTTAGCAGCCAAACGCTTAACCACTATGTCACCAGGGTCCCACTTAAACTCTATCATGGAGCTATTGATAGAGCAACAAATAAATAGTTGAGTCTGGGCAGGGCTCTTCTGTTCATACGTAGAGAAGCACATCTGAGCCCTCCTGTAGGTTATGGATACATAGGTGGGCACTTCCTGCCAGTCTTTCCAAGTTGGGCTAATAACTCCTCCCATTCCTCTAACGCTGTAGCAGCTACATGGGCTCTTTTGCTTGGCTGAGACAGTTGGAGCTGCTGACCCTCAAGAGCCTAAGGCATTTTATAAAGACACAACATTAACTATATCGATATGAGCCATCTCCCTGCAATAATTTCCTAAGTCCTTACTCATGCCTTACTTATGTTATTTCATTTAATCCTCACATAACCGAATGAGGAAGGTATTCACCAAAACCAAACCAAACCTGTTACTGTTGAGTTGACTTCAACTCATGGCAAGCCCACATATTACAGAGTAGAACTGCTTCATAGGGTTTTCTTGGCCGTAAACTCTACAGAAGTAGATCGCTAGGCCTTTCTTCTGGGGTGTCGCTGAGTGGGTTAGAACTGCCAACCTTTAGGTTAGATGTTGAGCACAAACAGTTTGCACCACGCAGGGATCTATTGAGATGGTATTATTATCCCCAAAGTAAGGCTCAGACAGGTTCAGCAACTTCACTAATTTTATTAGCTAGTAAGTGGTAAAACAGGAGTAGAATTAAAAATGTCAGGCTCCAAAGCCTGGGCAATAGTATAAATTCTTTGCAAATAAGTCTTCACCTTCTTTTGTATTTTTTGAGTGACTGGCACAAGACCTGGCTTACAAGTAGGTACTTAATAAATGCTTGTTAAATGACTTAATAAATGCTTACTGGCAATATGAGTTCTTTGTTCGTAAGCTATATATATATTGAATTACTTATCTATCTTGTAGGATATTGGACACTACTATTTCCTAATTCAATATCTGCTCCTGTGCCGTTTTGAAAGACACTCCTAAAACAGGACATCACACGTGTTATAGCTGATCTTTTGCATCACAATCACTCCAGTAGGAGAAATACAGTCCTCCAGACCACACAGCTACAAGGTTTGTAGGGTTAAGGGATTTATTAGTGAAACTTATTTAAATATTCCATGTTATAGTTTTACCTTGTGAAAGTCAGCCTGTCTTTGGAAAATATGTGAGAGAGTCATTACACATTGCAATTTTTGAAATATTTGCATATTTCAGTAACCTGAAGTAGTGAGCTACAGTTCTTAAGAATATAGGCTTTGGAACCAGATTGTTTGAGTTCCAATCCATGCTCTGACACCAACATGGCTGTGTGGCACTGAGCAAGTTACTTAACCTCTCTGTGTGTCAGTTTCTTTATCTGTAAAATTGTAATAGTAAAGTCGACCTTCGTAGCTGATACGAGCATTAAACGGTAATATACAGAAAGCAGTTAGAACGGTGCCAGGCACACAATAAGTGCTATGTGAAAGCTAGCTATTTCCATTATTAACATGGCTCAAGGATCTCCTGTAGCTTACAATGTGCTAGTTAGAGAAAAAAAAAAAAAAAAAAAACAGAGCTGTTTGAAAAATTAAACTTTAATAAAATTTGAACTTAAATTTTTAGTGAGTTGAAAAAAATATGCTCTGCTTTAATTTTTATAGGAGTAATAGACTCAAGGGGGTAATCTTCCATAAATATTTATTCGTAACTCACAAACTACAGGGCGCTATAGTATACAATAAGAAATTGCTAATTCTACTTTCTGTATCTTATGGTTGTGATCACTGAGAAGAAAATTCCTTTTTCTCCTTGAAAATAATCCCCCCAAATGCTCATAATCTTTTTGAATACATAAATTTTACTCTGGGGATATATGCACTGATATATATGTATATAATATATAAGGAGACACTGGTGGTTCAGTGGTAGAATTCTTGCCTTCCATGCAGGAAACGTGGGTTTGATTCCCAGCTAATGCGCCTCATGCACAACCACCATGTGTCAGTAGAAGCTTGTGTGTTGCTATGATGCTGAACAGGTCAGCAGAGCTTCCAGACTAAGACAGACCAGGAAGAAAGGCTTGGTGATCTATTTATGAAAATCAGCCAATGAAAATCCTATGGATCACAATGGTCTGATCCACAACTGATCATGGGGATGCTAAAGGACCTGGCACAGTTTCCTTCCATTGTACATGGGATTGCCATGAGTCAGGGGCCAAGGGGATGGCAGGTAACAACTATACATCTATATATGTACTATTACTGCAAAAGGGATTTAAATTTATCTACTAATCTCAATACAATCTTACCATCATGAAAACGCCCACTTGTTTTGCATGCTATGCTAATAGTAACCACTTAAAAAAGCCAGTTAATTGTAATTGCCAGATTCTGTCACTTTACTAAATCTTACTAAAGTAACAACAAAGATAAGGATAAACATGTAGGAGGCTATATGGATGCATATACATGTTTACACACAGCATCAAAACATAAGTGAAGTAAGCAGAATTTTAAGAGCACGTACCAAATTTGTACAGCTAAAACAAACTATGTTTTTGTTTCAAAAGCCATGCTCAATGACACCCCAGGGGCGCAGCAGGTGCTTTGAGGGCGGCCCATTCAGTGCTACCGGCTGCTAGAATACCATTCAGTACTGTTGAGCATAAAGGCACTCAAGAATCTGCCTGAAAATACCAGAAACAGAAAATATTTTGATTTTGTGATTGTACAGACCCAGAAAGACGCTCCGTTATTTTCAACCAGCTGTGACATCTTATCTATGGTGTTTCAGCTCTCTCCCTAGTGATTTAGGGACCGGCCACAGGCGACAAAGTGTATGGCACTCCTATACAGTGACCACAAGAGCTAAATTTAGCAGGCTCACAGCAGAGAAATGGAATGGTGACGTGCATGCATAAGTAACATTTCATTGACTTAATAGTTGCCCTCAGATTTTAATTTTACAAAGATATACTAATAATGCTTGCAGGTTTTAAAAGAGAAAATGACTTGTAGGAGAACCACTGCGTAATTATATACCTACGATTTCTCTGAATATTAACATACAGACCTGTTGATCCTAAAATCAACCTGCTACTTAAAGACTATTTCAAGAAACTTGGTTTCTCTCCCAAATCCAGTCAATCTGAAAACGTTTTCTTAGAACATGTTTCTGTATAAGCAGCTATCCAAGCTCGATGATGTTTTGGTAGATGGTATTTTAATCCTAACTTACTAGAATTTAGAGGTAATCCCCACACAATACTATCTTAATGGGTACAAATTTCAAACTGGCTTATTTTACATTTTTGTGAAATACATTGAGAACAAGGAGGCTTAAGCTCTGAAGTGAAAAGTAGAGCGCTCACCTTATTTCTACTAAAACAACTCCAAAGCAAGAAGGCTTAACTGGTTTTAACTCTGTTAGGATCAGAAGGTGTTCTCTCTAGCTCTGTGCATGTCTGCCTAGTTAACATTAGGCAAAAATGAAAAGTCACTGTTTAAAATTGAAATCTTAACTATCCGCAAAGTAAAATAACACTGTCATCAAGAGACGCTACATGAGAAATACGATCTACCACATATATAATTTGTTGTAGGGCACTGGTGAATATTAAATTGCCACTTTTAGCAACGGCATCAGGTAACATCAGTGAAAAGACTGCATTGCTTTCAAAGCTCTGAGTGCTTATTTAATAGCTACAAAGTTGTGTATTTCTTTCATAACCACACACACTAAAGAGAAGCCATTAGGCCAAGCCAGACTTACCTGTGGTGAGTGCCTCAGCAGTTGCTATGTGCATGATGGTGTTGTCACTCACAGGCCATTTTTCGGGTGAAAGTACAAGCTGCTCTAGTCCTCCGATTTGTTTCAGTTCCGCCCGGATCTTTGTCCCTAAAGCACTGTTCTCCTTGCTGGCATTTCTGTAACCAAGAGCATCTCCAACACTTCCTAGCAGCATAGCTGCCTTAAATTTCTCCATCTTGGGAGGGCAGGCCAGGCCCTTGAGGCTTTCCTCTTGCTGTTACAGCTGCTGAACGTCCTCAGCCTGTGTTGCTTCTGTTTGTTCGCTGCCTTCAGTCAACCCTGCTGACATTTATATTGGTCATTGTATCACTGTCAGGACCTGCCTCTAAATGGCCAGGCACTCCTTATCTGTCTCTGCAGGTGACACCTCTTATATAAGGACCAATGAGAAAAACTCTCCGGATCCTAGCAGCTCAGAGCATTCATTCTAAATAACAGGGCCCCTGGAGCACCACCGTGTAAGGTATCAACTTCCCTCAGCATTAAGGACAGACTCTAGCTTTTCAATAAGACAACTGTTTGCTGTCTTTAATCAACATCCAGAACATCAAACATTTTAAAAGCAGTAACTTCTAAGTAACAAATCTTTGTAGTATTCTCCAAGAAATCTTAATACACGCATATTTTTTAAAAAGCTTTATTAAGGGATTCTACCCGTTTTAAGTGTACATTTTTGATGAATTTTTGTAAATGTATATTGTTGTGCAACTATCATCCCAAAAGTTCCCTTTGCCTATTTGCTCCCCAGGCCCATAGTTTCACCTTTTCTAGGAATTTGAAATAAATGGAATCATACTACAGTCTTTTATATCTGGCTTTCACTTAGCATGTTGAAATTCATTAATTATATGCAATGGTCCTTAAGAAGAAAAATACTTTTTTGATTATGTGTTTATGATAGGAAAGTTGGAAAAATTATAAGGGAAAAAATTCGTGTATTTCTTTTGTTTTCCATTTACATTTAGTATGATTATTGATGGGTGTGAATTTATTGCTGTCGTTCTGTAGTGCTTTGTGGTGCTGACATTTTCTTTGTTCCTCTTACTCTCCTGTGGTTTTTTTTTTTTTTTTTTTTTTTTCCTGCAAGGGGGAAAAAAATGGCTCCAGTGTGAAAGATTATGATGTTTTCTCACAATTTGATGTTCAACAAAAAAAGGCTCTTCAAATAACCAGACTTTAGATCGGAAAGTGGTAAAGTGTGTTAGCAAAGTGAAAAGCTTCACAGTAGAATTTATGATTATGCTCTCAGTTAGGCGTTCGCATTTAAAATATTCCCAACAATTTATGAAAAGAATACTCAAAGATATGATGAGGCTGAGGGATGGGGGGAGGGGAGAATATATAAAACCAGGGCTCTTTAAAAAAAAAAAAAAATTAGGAAGACCATCTCCCTGACCCCCAAACCCAGCAGAGGAGGTAAACAGTATCCAAACTATTCCCTCTCCTGTTTCTCCATGGAACCTACTCTATCAGACCCAGGAAAAGTGTAGGGTGTTATATATGAACTTAAAAAATATATCTGATAAAAATAAAATTTAACTAAACATGTAGTATAATACCTGCGATTTGTTAAAAGTGAGTTTCTGGAATATTATTCTAGCTAGTATAATTCTGAGAGATTCTGAAACAAAGTCCTTCAAAACCATTACAGATGGTTCTTGGTTGCTAATTATGTAGATTCTCTATCCAAACAAGACGAAACAAAACAACAAAAACTAGAAATGAATTACAACCATTTTATTTATATAACTATCTTAGGTAGAACAGCAGAGTTTGGCAGAAATATTTATTATTGAAGGGAGTAATACAGTCTATGACTAATTTCTTTTTCACATCCTCAGCCTCATTTTGTGACCGATTTTTATCTGTGCCTATTTTAAACGGATAATACTCAAAAGGTTTTTTTGCTGATTCTGAGGCAATGGAAGCCTTCATAAAAGACAGTTAGGAATAACTACCATACTACTTGACCTATGTCAGTAAATAATTAGAGGTAAGATTAGTCCATTCGACAAGTATTTACTGAGGCCTACCTTCTGTCGGGGACTATGGATATAGCATCAAATAACAGAAAAAAACCTACCATTGCCCCCATGGAGCCTGAAGTCTAGAATGTACATAATATTAAACTATCACGTTAAAAAACACAATTACGCATGTCACTAAGAGAGAAAGAGATGACGATGTTTATTCCAGAAATTCTTGGTAGACACGCTATGAAGGTACAGGGCAATGTGTATTTCTTAACTCTATCATGTTTGGTTTATGTATTTTAATACATTTATAATTTGTGTTACAGTATATTTCGCCATGTGATTCCTATCAACTCGAGGAAATTACATTGTGCATTTGTGAGATCTCTGATTTCTCATATTTAACAGCACTATATGATACTGAAAAAGAAAACCAAGTAATTTAAGCTGTTTTAGGACATGATCACTAGAGACAGACACGATGTTTTAAGTTTCTAAGGAGGTTATTTATTGGTTACTACAAATATAACTTTCCTGCTTGTCCTGTGACTGAAGACGAAGATACTGACATCTAGTGGCAAGTATATGAGCAACCTAGAATTGAAAAGGATACCACAACCACCAGAGAAAATGATTTATTTGAATGTTTTTTGAAGATTTTAGCATTTTAATAACATGCATAATTTAAATGTATATAATAGAAGGAAAAGAAATCCACAATTTTTTGAAGAGCCATTGTCCAATTACTAATATTTTGATAACTATCGATAAACAACCCTATAGTACTTTAAATCTTTCTTTTTTTAAAAAGTATTGCAGACCTTCATGATTATCTGAGTTCTATAAATTTCTCTAAACAGAACACTTACATGTCAATCTATGAAGCCTAGAAGGATGCTTTTAAATTTTTGAAGTTTTTGTTAAAGCGAGCTTTTATTGTATTAAATAAATGTTCTCTTAGAATCACAGATTTCTGAAGGTTAAGATGGCCTTTTTCCTTTTATAGATATAGAAACAGAGGCCCAGGAAAGGCTAAGTGACTCGTCCCAGGACATACAATTAATGGTCGACTCAGGCCTAAATCTTGGTCTTCAAACTTCATGACCATTTTTCACTCCTCTATCCCATATTCCCTGCTGCCCTTTTTTGAAGATTTCTAGACAAAAGCATATATAGTTCATATCCTAGCAAGTATACCTAAACAGATGTGCCTCATGTTTTAAACAGCTGTTTCCTGAAACACTGAATTAATTCTATTTTTGGGAGTCAAATCAAACTGCAAATTTTAGGCAAGCTGTCTAGTTTATAGGAAGTCTGAAGTGAAGCTCTTCTCTCACACTCTCTCCTGTAAAATAATTGCCAATTTATCTGTTTCATAAACTGTATCGTATATGGGCAGCAAGGCACACCTGCAATGTGAAGATCAAATGCATTAAGATCCTCTTTTCAAATATGAGGTAGGGTCATAGAGAGTAATTTCCAGAACTCTACGTAAGAGCTTTGCCAAAGGAAGAGCAAGGAGACATCTTAGGCTTTACATGCCTTTGGACCGCACGTAATTTATTCTTGTGCTGCGCCAGAGGGTTCACTTTGACAAGGTAGAGATCATAAAAAACAGGTAACAGGATGCAAAGACAGATTTCAGCTCTCAAATAAGATGAAGGTTTCCGCTTTTTTGTTTTGTTTTCTCACAATGATGTATATTTTAGCTTCTAAATTGTACAATTTGTACAAAGGGTTGGATGCTAGACATTATAGCAGATGTTGTAGATATTTGAAAGGAACTAGCTCACTTGATTTTTAAATCGGTAATTCATCACTCACAAAAGAAATTATTTTTCATAGAAAAATGTCTTTTTAAATGTAATAAAATATTTTTTTTAAAAAAAAACATACCGTAAGAAAACTTCTTAGGAAGTTCAAATAACATTAAAAGTAAAATAGGCCCGCTGACTTGTAAACACTTTCAAGTAAAACTTTCCTGAAATCACACACTGTGCAAACTGTAATGGTATATTAAAAATTATAAAATGATTTACAGATGAACAGCTAGGAAAATTAAAACAAACAAAAATAGATTTGGCAAATCTAGATATCCGATAATTCAAAAAATATAAATCTTGAATTCCTGGCACCAAGTTTAAAAAATGTTAGAATCCATTACAAGATCATCTTTAGGGCACATTTTTAACACCTTTGACTTGTATAAAAATACAACATCCTACTTGAGAACACAAATACTGTTTTTTAAATGTAATTACAATATAATTCAGCAGGAGTTTCGGGAACTGCTGGTGTTCACCTTAAATCGTGGATTAAATAGCATGCTCTGCAGTCCTGCAAAATGGGCTCTGTGTTACTTTTTCTTAAATATAAAAATCATGCAGCAATCTCTTAAAGCAACAGCTACAACGACCCCCATCTCCACATATTCCAAAGCAGTCATCTTCTGAGAATTTTGCAGTGTCCATAACACAGTCGCCGTTCTCTTTAAGTACAATTGGATGGCTGTTTTAGTTTCACGACTGGTCAGGATGACTTTTGAAATCAGTGAGAAATGTACACAGTAACTGACCAAAATGTCTCCTTTACAGGATGCAATTCATTTATCATCTTAATCCAGCTTAACTGTTCTGCTTAGAAAGTGCTTTGCTTTCCACCTGTGACTACTGGCCGTGCATATTCTACAAAATCATCTATAAGGACAGGCCACGCTCCTAAAGGAAAACAAACACGTAAAAAAACAAAGTTTTAAAGCAATATTTTTATATTCAAACCACTTTTTTTCACAATCCAACATCTATATTTCAAGAACCAAAATGATTTTAAGTTTAGATAGCTCATGTTTCACAATACTACTTAGCCAAAGTTATTTCATTCTTTTGTTCCAGCCAGACCAGGGTCAGCAACTGTTGGCGTGTTAGTGTGTGCTGAAAAAGCCCTCATCTGATGGGAATGACATGTAGTACTAGCTGATCACGTAGTTTCTCAAAGCACTCACTACCAACTGATCACAGGGAATGAAGAGAAATGAATCTATTTGTCCTCAGGCTGGACGTACGAACTAACCCATAGCCATCAAGTTGATTCTGACTCATAGCGACCCTATAGGACACCGTAGAACTGCCCCATAGGGTTTCCAAGGCTGTAATCTTTACAGAAGCAGACTGCCACATCTTTGTCCTGCAGAGTGCCTGGTGGGTTTGAACCTCCAATCTTTCGATTAGCAGCTGAGTATTTAACCACTGTGCCACTAGGGCTCTTTGGACTGATGAACTACTTTTCTTCAAATAGGTCGTTTATATTCTTGCCCCTAGGATGCTGCTTTCTTGTTAGGAACACATGCCTCCTTCGTGTTTTGTGATTCATACCCACTCATAAAGGCCTAGTCCAAATCCACCCAATCCAAAGTGATTCCTCTAAGCTCCTGCAATATTAAAGAATACCACTATTCAGCGGCCTGCACAGCTAGGATGGGACCTTCTCTGCAACATCTTCTCCAGTATGTCTTCTGTCCACTTCCCCACCCTTAGCAGAAGTAATCAATCATTCCTCCTTGTTCTAGAAGGTATAGATTCTTCAGGTCAGCACTTACCACATACGTACTACTTTACGTTTTAAAAAATAATTTATTTTGTTATATTTTTGTTGTCATTGAGAATATACACAGAAAAAAACATACACCAAATCAAGTTTCTACATGTACAATTCAGTGACATTGATTACATTCTTCGAGTTGTACAACCATTCTCACCCTCCTTTTATGCGTTGTTCCTCCCCTATTAATGTAAACTCAATACCCCCCCCCCCAGCAGGTTCCAATCTAATCTATCCCATATAGATAGATCTTAATAGAGCATAATCCTCAAGGCAGACATTCTTTACTAGTTAAGCTAAACTACTGTTTGGTTTTAAGAAGATTTCAGGGAATATTTTTGGTTTAAGGTTTAAAAGATTATCTTAGGGCAACCGTTTCAAGGGTTCATCTAGACTCTATGGCTACAGCAAGGTTGGATTCTCTGAAAATCTGAAATTCTATTCTGTATTTTCCCCCTTTTGATCAGGATTCTTTAGAATCTTTGATCAAAATGTTCAGTAACGGTAGCCAGGCACCATCCAGTTCTTCTGGTTTCATGGCAAAAGAGGCAGTTGTTCATGGAGGCAATTAGCCACACATTCCATTTCCTCCTCCTATTCCTGACCCTCCTTGTACCTCTTCTGCTCCAGGCAAATAGAGACCAATTATTGTACCCTGGCTTGCAAGCTTTTAAGACCCCAAGCACTATGCAGCAGACTGCGAGGTAGAACAGAAGCACTAAACACTTGATTAAGCCAATTAACTGGGATGTTCAATTAAGCCATGACCCTAAATATCCAAAGCAAGGAACCAAATTCCATGAGGTATTTGGCTGTACATAGGCAGGACTCAGCAGCTACGTTGTTTTTCTGTCATTGTTGTAAATATATCACACAACTTTTGCCGATTTAACTTTTTACAGGTGTACAACTTATTGACAGCTCTTTCAAAAATTGGCTGTGCAGCCCTACCCTTAAACAATGAGATTTTCTATCACTGTAAACCAAAACTCAGTACTCCACAAGCAATAACTCCTCCTTTCCCCCTCCCTCCTTCCCCTGGTAACCACTAATAAACTTTGATCTCTATACAGCTGTCTGTTCTTCTCTTTTTATATAAGCGAGGTTATACAATATTTGTCCTTTTGTGACTGACTTGTTTCAGTGGGCATAAAGTCTTCAAGCTCCATCCGTACTGTAGCGTGTATCAAGACTTAATTTCTCTTACTGGCTGCATAGTATTTCATTGTATGTACGTACCACATTTTGTTTATCCATTCATCCGCTGATGGGCATTTAGGTCGTTTCCACCTTTTGACTACTGTGAACAGTATTGCAATGAACATTACTGTACAAGTCTCTGTTTGAGTCTCTGCTTTCAAGTCTGTTGGGTATGGACTAGCTGGGTCATATGGCAGTTTTATTTTTATGTTTTTTTTGTTTTTAGCATAAAATTATTATTATTATTATTTTTATTGTACTTCAGGTGAAGGCTTACAGAACAAATAGTTTCTCATGAAACAGAAGTACACATGTTGTTTTATAACATTGGTTAACAACCCCACAACATATCAACCCTCTAACTTCTCAACCTCTTTTTTTTTTGGTGAAAATACACATAGCCAAAGATACACCATTTCAAAAATTTCTACATGCACAGTTCAGTGACACTGACTATGCTCTTCGAATTGTGCTGTTATTCTCACTTAAGATGAAGACTTACAGAACAAAATAGTTTCTCGTTTAACAGTTACTACAAATGTTGCCCTATGACAATGGTTAACAATCTCACAACACATCAACAATATCCTTACTCAACCTTGGGTTCCCTATCATCAGCTTCCTTTTCCCCTTCTGCTTTCTGGCCCTTGTCACTGGACTCCTGTACCTCGTTAGTCTCATTTGGTTTTACGGGGCTGTCCACTCCCAGGGTGAACCGTGAACCTCGGAGGTAACTTCACCACTGAGCTAAAAGGGTGTCTGGGGGCCATACTCTCGGGGTTTCTCCAGTCTCCTTTAGGCCAGTAAATCTAGTCTTTTTTTTGTGAGTTAGAATTATGTTCTACATCCTTCTCCAGCTCTGTCCAGAACCCTCTGTTGTGATCCTGGTCAGAGCAGTCAGTGGTGGTAGCCAGGCACCATCTAGCTGTACTGGACTCAGTAGTTTTATTTTTATTTTGTTTGAGGAACTGCCACACTGTTTTCCACAATGGCTGTACCATTTTCACCCCGAACAGCAATGGAAAAGAGTTCTAATTTCCCCACCTTCTTGCCAACATCTGATCTGGATTTTTTATATTTTATCTTAGCCATCCTGTTGTTAAATGCCATTGAGTCGGTTCCAACTCACTGTGACCCTATGTACAACAGAATGAAACATGCTCCATCCTGCACCATCCTCACAATTGTTGCTTTTTGAGCACATCGTTGCAGCCACTGTGTCTATCCATCTTTTGAGGGTCTTCCTATTTTATGTTGACCCTCTACTTTACCAAAGGACTGGTCCTTCTTGGTAACATGTCCAAAGTACATGAGATGAAGTTTCGTCATCTGTGCCTGTGAAGAGCTTTCTGGCTGTACTTCTTCCAAGACAGATTTGTTTGTTCTTTTGGCAGTCCATGGTATAGTCAATATTCTTTGCCAACACCATAATTCAAAGGCACCAATTCCTCTTCTGTCTTCCTTATTAACTGTCCAGTTTTCCCATGCATATGAAGCAACTAAAAATACCATTGCTTGGTCACGTGCACCTTTGTCCTCAAAGTGACATCTTTGCCTTTTTAACACTTTAAAGAGGTCTTCTGCAGCAGATTTGCCCAATGCAATACATCATTTGACTTCCTGAATGCTGCTTCCATGCGCATTGATTATGGATCCAAGTAAAATGAAATCCTTGACTACTTCAATCTTTTCTCCATTTATCATGTTGTTGCTTACTGGTCCAGTTACGAGGACTTCTGTCTTTTTTATGTTGAGGTGTAATCCATACTGAAGGCTGTGGCCTTTGATCTTCATTCGTAAGTGCTTCAAGTCCTCTTTGCTTCAGCAAGCAAGGTTGTGTCATCTGCATACTGAAGGTTGTTAATGAGCCTTCCTTCAATCCTGACGACACGTTCTTCTTCATACAGTTCAGCTTTTTGGATTGTTTGCTCAGAACACATATTGAATAAGTATGGTGAAAGGATACAAACCTGACACATACCTTTCCTGATTTTGAACCACTCAGTATCCCCTTGTTCTGTTCGAACTGTGCCTCTTGGTCTATGCACAGGTTCCACATGAGCACAATTAAGTGTTCTGGAATTCCCATTCTTCACAATGTTATCCATAATTTGTATGATCTACACAGTCAAATGCCTTTGCATAGTCAATAAAACACACATAAACATCTTTCTGGTATTCTTTGCTTTCAGGCAAGATCCATCTGACATCAGCAATGATATTACTCGTTCTATGTCCTCTTCTGAATCCAGCTTGAATTTTTGGCAGTTTCCTGTCCATATACTGCTGCAGTTCGTTTTGAATTATCTTCAGCAAAACTTTTTCTGTGTGTGACATTAATAATATTTTTCGATAATTTCTGCATTCTGTTGGATCACCTTTCTTTGGATTGGGCACAAATATGGATCTCTTCCAGTCAGTTGGCCAGGTAGCTGTCTTCCAAATTTCTTGGCATATATGAGTGAGCACCTCTAGCGCTACATCCATTTGGTGAAACATCTCAATTGGTATTCCGTCAATTCCTGCAGCCTTGTTTTATGCCAATGCCTTCAGTGCAGCTTGAACTTCTTCCCTCAATACCATTGGTTCTTGATCTTATGCTACCTTCTGAAACGGCCTAATGTTGACCAATTCTTTCTGGTACAGTGACTGTATATTCCTTCCATCTTCTTTTGATGCTTCCTGCATCATTCAATATTTTGTCCATAGAATCTTTCAATATTACAACTCAAGGCTTGAATTTTTTCTTCAGTTCTTTCAGTTTGAGAAATACTAAGCATGTTCTCCCTTTTGGTTTTCTAACTCCAGGTCTTTGTACATTTCATTATAATACTTTGTCTTCTCAAGCTGCACTCTGACATCTTCTGTTCAGCTCTTTTACTTCATCATTTCTTCCTTTCACTTTAGCTACTCTACTTTCAACAGCAAGTTTCAGAGTCTCTTCTGACATTTTGGTCTTTTCTTTCTTTCCTGTCTTTTTAATGACACTTTGCGCTCTTCATGTATGATGTCCTTGATGTCATCCCACAACTTGTCTAGTCTTCAGTCATTAGCGTTCAATGTGTCAAATCTACTGTTGAGACGGTTTCTAAATTCAGGTGGGATATATTCAAGGTTGTACTTTGGCTCTCATAGACTTTTAATTTTCTTCAGCTTCAACCTGAACCTGCACATGAACAATTGATTGCTCTTCTTTGTTTCCAACTTTTGCATTCCAATCACCAGTAACTATCAATGCATCTTGATTGCATGTTTGATCAATTTCAGACTGCAGAAGCTGGGAAAAATCTTCAGTTTCTTCATCTTTGGCATTAGTAATTGGTACATAAATTTGAATAACAGTCACATTAACTGGTCTTCCTTGTAGGCGTATACATATTAACCTATCACTGACAGCACTGTACAAAAATGTTCTTTTTGACAATAAATGTGATGCTGTTGCTCTTCAATTTGTCTTTCCAGGCACAGCAGATCACATGACTGTCTGATTCAAAACAGCCAATACCAGTCCTTTTTAGCTCAGTAATGCCTAGGATATCGATCTTTATGCATCCCATTTCATTTTTGGCGACTTCCAAGTTTCCTAGATTCATACTTTGTACATTAGCCATCCGAGGGGAAGCAAAATGGTATCTCATTGTGGTTTTGATTTGCATCTCTCTGATGGCTAATGACGTTAAGCATCTTTTCATGTGTTTGGTGGCCATTTGAATGTCACCTTTGCTGAAATGTCTATTCAAGTCCTTTCCTCATTTTATGATTGGGTTGTCTTTTTGTTGTTGTCAAAGTTTTATATATATTTTGGTTATTGGATTCTTATTGGATATATAGTTTCCGAAGATATTCTCCTAGTCGGTAGCTTGTCTTTTCACCTTTTTGCTAAAGTTTTTCGATGAACAAATGTTTTTAATTTTTATGAGGTCCCATTTATCTATTTTGTGTTTTGCTGTTTGTGCTTTTGTTAGTGTATTAGACAATCCATTGTTAAAAATTAGGCCTGAGAGCGTTGCCCCTGAATTGTCTTCTAAGAATTTTATGGTTTTAGTTTCCACATTTAGGTTCTTTTTTTTTTTATTATTGTGCTTTAGGTAAAAGTTACCACATTTATGTTCTTAATCCATTTTGAATTTGTTTTTGTGTGTGGTGCGAGGCATAGATTCCGTTTCATTTTTCTGCATGTGGAAATCCAATTTTCCCAACACCATTAACTGAAGAGACCCTTCTTTCCCCATCTAACGGACTTTGCATTCTTGTCGAAAATAAGCTGACCATAGATGTGTGGGTTTGTTTCTGGACTCTTAATTATATTCCATTGGTCTATATGTCTATTATTATACCAGTACCAAGTTGTTGATTACTGTAGCTGTATATGTTTTAAAATCAGGAAGTGTGAGTTGTCCTATTTTGTTTTTCTCTTTCAATGTTGCTTTAGCTATTCTAGGCCTCTTGCCATTCCATATAAAGTTGAGGATTGGTTTTTCCATTTATGTAAAGAAGGTTATTGGAATTTTGATTGGGATTGTGTTGAATCTACAGATCATTTTGGGTAGTATCGACATCTTAACAATATTAAGTCTTCCAATCCATGAACATGGAACATCTTACCATTTATTTAAGTCTTCTTTAATCTCTTTCAGCAGTGCTACATTTTCAGCCACCTTTTTATGCAGATGTGGCTTATCTCACCAAATATAGGGTAAGCTCTTGAAAACAGGGTGCTCATGTCTATATTCAACTAATCATTCATTCAGCCATTTGACAAACATCTATTAAGTACCTATTTAGTGCTAGGTATTTTGCTAAGTGCTGAAGATACAAAAGAGGAACAAGCTAAGATCCTTGAGGAGCTTATATAATATAGTGAGGAAGACAGATACGTAAACCAATCAACTACAAAGGAAGGTGATAAGTGCTGAGCTGAAGAATCTATACTTTCTAAAACAAAAAAGAGAGTGATTAGTTCTGCTAAGGGTAGGAGGAGATGGACAGAAGACACACTGGAAAGGATGTTACAGAGAAGGTAACATCTTAGCTGATAGGCAGTGAGAAAGCAGACAACGTGGGTGGGGAGCCTAGAGGGTTAGACCTTCCTCCCAGAGACTGAGTATTTCTTTTCTAATGTAACAGAGTGCCTAACACATAGGAGGCATTCAAATGTCCTCTGATTTAGTGTTTTGAAATATTTTGGGGGGAGGAAACTACAAAACGTATAATTACACTTATGTAAATAAATATAATGTAGAATGTTCAAATAAGATTAAACAACATAATTAAATAACTGACCTAAGGAATCAAATGATATAGGGTATCTGGGAGCAGTAGTTTCCAAATACCTACTTAATTCTATATTTCTGCCATGAGAGTCCTTGCATGTCATTTTTGAAATGCTTTAGTTTAAACGGCTATCTTCTTGACTTAAACTAAATATGAAGCCCTATGTTTCTTTTCTGGGGTTTATAAAAAATACTAATGAAGTGGGTACTATTATTATGATCCCCATTTCACTGATAAGGACACTGCACAAGTATGTGGTAGGGCCAGTAGTCAAACCATGGTTGGTGTGATTCCAGTGCCTATACTCTTAATCACGATGCTATGCTCTAAAGGCAGGAAATGTTAACATTCATATCAGATTTAAGAATTTCCAGCCATCATCCAAAATACTATAACTTCAGTACCTTCTTCATCGTAGTTAGACATATCATCTGCAATCATATTTCCAAAATCTAGTAGAAGGTTCCAAGTGTCCCTTGGGATTGATCTTTTGTGATGTTCCTATTACATAAGAGGGGAAAAAACAACAACAACAAAAAAACACCAGATATAAGATACAAGGCTTAACTCTTAAGTATTCTAATGGACTGGTTCTCTTCATTACATAACTTGATGAGAAATAAGTGTAATAACAAAATCATTAAAACTTAAAAGTAGTAATAGTGCTTTGGATAAATTGGCTACAACGTCAATGTGCAAATATAGAAACTAGACTTATTTAAAAACAAGATAAAACAGTTTATAACGTTTTATAAATCGGATTTATAAGGCTAATCCCATAGACTTTATAACATACAGATGGCCTATTCTTGGGTTATATGCCTAAAATTTAGGTTACTGATCTCAGGTAAAGAGTAAAGGGAATCATGGGCACAAGACTATTAACTTCTGAATATTTTTAAGAGATATAATACATGATTTAATGAAATAAGCATAGTTTAAATGACCCTTCCTCTATTACATATCTACAAATTTTTAAAGGACACTAATCCAAACAAAACCCGTTGCTGTCGAATTGATTCCAACTCATGGCAACCCCATGTGTTTCAGAGTAGAATAGTGCACAGGGTTTTCAGTGGCTGTAATCTTACGGAAGTTGACTGTCAGGCCTTTCTTCTGTGGTGCCGCTGGGTGGATTCGAACCACCACCTTTAGGTCAGTAGTTGACTGCAAACACTTGTACCACCCAAGGACCTTCTAAATAATGTTAGCTTTCACAAACAGCACCTACACTTACGAAGTCTGCTCTGTTTTAAGTGATTTACTTACATTAATTATCAAATGTTCCCAACAATCCCTCTTCGGTGGTACTATTATTAGCTCTATTTTCCAGATAAGAAAACAAGGCACAGGAAAGTTAAGTAACTTGCCCAAGGCCATAAAACTAGTAGGTGGTGGAGAAAAGTAGATATTATCTATTATTATTAAATTAATCTAGCCATTTTTACTCTACGTATGGGTTTATGCTGTGTGAAGTACCTTATTTTACTTTAAGAGGAGCTTCCTTACTGAAACAGGGCCAAGCATTATGCAGTCTGCTTCAAGCTACCAGAACCAACTGATTCTTAAAGAGGCCAAATAAGTCCTTTTTCCTTTGGAATATTATAAAATACATTTTAAAAATGGCATCAGATTATAAACACACACACAGTGGTGTTTCCAATGGACAATGGAATACAATCTATAGTTCTGGAACCAGCAGCAACTTTTACAGAAAGTGTGACTCCAGTACTTTTCTTCAAGGATTCTTGGTTTCTCAGAGAAAGTATTGAATTAATCAGCTTAGGGACCGCAGAGGAAACAATAAATCAATAGTTTGCTGAAGTTTGAAGCAGATCACCTAGAAACCTCAGTTTAGAAAAAGTCTCGCATGATTGCCACGAACCACTTTCTAAAAGCAGCCTTGGAGTCAGATCAAACTTGAAGCCTCGCTGCTACGGTATACTAGAATATGGTAAAGCTGTGTGGTAATTTCTCTGGTATCTGATACACTCTGTGTAGGACTTTATGCTACCACTCTTCTGTCAGTTTGTCATAGTGTGGTGGATTGTGTGGTGCTATGATGCTGGAAGCTATGCCACCGGTATTTCAAATTCCAGCAGGGTCACTCATGGTGGACAGGTTTTGGCGGAGCTTCCAAACTAAGACAGACTAGAAAAAAAGGCCTTGCAATCTACTTCTGAAAATTGCTGTTGCTGTTAGCTGCTGTTGACTCAGCTCTGACTCATGGTGGTGGATCAAACCGTTGTGACCCATAGGGTTTTCACCGGCTGATTTTCAGAAGTAGATCACTAGGACTTTCTTCCTAGTCTTAGTCTGGAAGTTCAGCAGAAACCTGTTCAACTTCATAGCAACAAGCAAGCCTCCATTGACAGATGGGTGGTGGCTGCTCATAAGGTAAAAAACGGCCAATAAGAACCGTATGCATCACAGAATATTGTCCAAGACTTCAACTCACTTACTCTGGATACATCATCGGGGGGACTGATCATTGGAGAAGGACATCGTATTCGGTAGAGTGGAGGGCCAGTAAAGGCAAGGAAAACCTCAATGAGATGGACTAACACAATGGTTGCAACAATGGGCTCAAGTATACCAACCATCATGAAGATGGTGCAGGTGCAGGACCGGGCAATGTTTTGCTGTGTTATATGTGGGGTCGCCATGAGTCAGCTGACTCAACATCAACTGAAAAAAATGGGACTTTACAGTTTACCCAAAACTTTCATATGTAATACTTTATTTAAATTTAGTTTCTTCAGGATGGAGAAGAATATTCTCGTGTATCTGCTGGGAAAGAGGGAGTTACCAGGAAGTTAGATAATTTTTATACAAGCAAGTGCCAACCTTTTTTATAATCTGCTGATTTCACCTTCACACTGAGCATACCCAAGAAGGAGTATACTTACCAACAAAAATTTGTTCCAAAGATCTAAGAATTTAAACCTTCCAGATAATACTAAATTCCAATATGCAACAGCCATTTCTAAATCTGGCAAAAAGAGAAGAGCAGTTAATAAATCCAAATTTCTTTTTCCATTGTACAAAAAAATGACTACTTTTTAGCACAATGATTTTCACTTGATCAACAGAATTTGGCAATCTAACCTAAGACTAATATGAGTCCTAATCTTTACAGAAGTGTTCCTGATAATAGTATGTAATCTAATTTTATAAATGTGAGAAAACTTCTTTTAAAAAGGAATTGTATATTAAGTTATTTGGACATGTAAATAATTATTCTCTAATTTATCAGTTTTGAGGACTCATTTTCATATATACTAAGCTTTCTTTAAACTTGAACTGATCTTCATACTATTAATACATATCATTTGCTGATGAACTTGAAGTTAACTTCTTCAGAAAGGAAAGGAGATGTTGCTTTCCAAATAGACCTGCCTTGTTATTATTAAGAATTAAAATAGAATCTGATTCAAAAGTGAAGACAGAAATTATATAAGCACTACAAGGACTTTGAATTTCTCAACACATAATCAAAACAAATATGCAAATGTAGGGAAATCCATTTTTGCTGATAAAAGGATATTTAAATCTATACTACTCAATGCCCTAATTTTTCCCCAACTGGGAGGTAGTATATGATTATTTCATAGCTTCTACATAAATCTATAGGATTAAGGATTCAAAATAAAGATCATGTATATCTTAATGGAATATTAAACCTGAGTGTTAGTACTGCATTAGAATATTATCCCCAATCCATAATCTTTTGGAATACTGCCTCACTGTCTGCTCACCAGAAGTTTTTAATCTATTTCTTTTTATATGCTTGACAAAGCAAGTAAATAAAGGGCCTGAGAAGTTTAGTTTATTTTTTAAAGTGACAACCTGTAATCATGTGGAATAGTGCTCAATAAAAGAAGAGCTATATTGAAATAATTTTCTAATAACATGTTTCTGCATGTATGTCAGATAAACTAATGTGAAAAGCAGATGAATACATATATTAAGGCAAAAGATTAGGTAAATTTAAATGCAAGATACCCAACCAAACAATTTTCAGAAGATTTTCATTTAAATTTTGTATAGTCCCAGTTGGGGGAAAAAAAAATACTAAAGTTGGAGCTCTAACTTGAGATTTCCAGGGCAAATCACTATTAAAACTTGATAAGTGAAAGAAATATATGCATAACAACCAATTTTAAATAAACTGCTTATATTCTTTACATATTTAAAGGGTTCATTACAGCCTTTCTCAACCCTATGGGGCAGTTCTACTCAGTCCTATGAGTGAGAATTGACTCAATGACAATGGGTTTTGGGTTTTATAGTCTGGAACAGCTCTTTAAACCTTACCTATGGGACCCATAATATAATGCTAAGTAGATCGTTAGTCTTGTCCTGCTTATAACTCTATATTCAATCACCTAAAAAGAACATTATTTGAAATCTACATTCAAGTCATTTTAACCATGGAAAGCACTCACACTGAGAAATGGAGGTTAACCTGGGGAGAAAAGAAAAATAAGAAGTCTTATGGCATACATTTAATC